GTATCTGGGTGTCAAAGGTGTTGGTAAACCAACTAGAGTAACATATTTACTGGCTGCGAGCAGAAGTTAAGTATGGATGTCTCGACCAAGAAAAATTATTCAGTGCTAATAGCTTGTAAACTAGGTGTGACAGGAGATTTTAAACTACCGAGAAGCAAGTGTAACAGACTTGTATGCTCGGAGCAATGGAGAGGCCCGAGACCCCTGGCACACACTCCTTCATAGCCTCAACGTCAACCACCAGCTCCCCAATGGTGAGGAAAACACCGAAGAACAGACCCAATAGAATAAAACTATACAATACACATCCTCCAGAACCGAAATCGCCCCATGATAGAAACCACAAATGGTAGCATTTGGACAGTTTAACGTGACCATATAAATATTACGCTCGCTACCTCTCGCCGTTTCTCAGCAAAATCGCTACAGCTAGAATTCAAAATAACGCAAAGATAATTGAAATCGGTTTGGGAGATGAAGGAGCTTGTCGACGGAAGTCAAGGTGGCCCCTTTGGGCCTTGTTACAGGTGAGTATATCCGCTCCGCTTCGAGCACCCCGTGTACTAATGCCCATGGTAGCTTTGATAACGACGACGGCTTTATTACAGCTATTAACCAAAGTGCTGTCCAGGAAAACCTTTGGATGCACCTAAAATATACATCTATGCTATATGATGGACAAATCAGCAAATGACAACTGCAAACACACAAGAACGAGTCTTGATGCCGTGACAAGCTATAATCAAAACATCTCGACAATTTGGCAACCTATTACAAGCGACAGCACTTCGATGCTTCAACGTTACAATTATATATAGTCCACTAGATCTTATCATTCAACGAAAACAGCCACCAGGAAGAGACCAAGGCGGCTCTCAAGCCCCGCCATGCGATAGACCAAGCTTTCTTTCGCTAACTAAGTTCGATCTGAGCCCTAGGAGCTCTGCGTACACCAGGACAAGGCAGGTAACCCGGTCAATCCATAAAAGTAAGACTTGGTAGATCCTGAACCGAATCTACAGCGCTGGTCTGCTTGTTTACACTATGTATATAGAGAGGCGGCGTCATGTAGAAATCAGTCGCAGAGCTCGCACATAAGGTCAACGCACCTTAGCTCAAGGAATTCATCGACTTGATGGACCAGCCTCGCACGGCGATCCTCAATAAGGCTGGCAGGCATTTCTTCAATGATGTCAGTTACGGCAGCCAGCCCAGATTCCGCTTCCAGCAGCAGGGTGATAAGTGGGCGAAGTTCAACTGGAAAGGGAAGGCAGATGAAGATATCGGCAAGCTACTCATCCCGGCTTATCCCTTGGAAATTTTGAAATTAGTGAGATGCTCTAAGCGCTTAGAGTTAACTCACAAGTAGATCCGATGGGTGTTTGATGGTCCAGGTCACTAACATACTAGTCATGGCAGAAATGCCAGACAATACTGGAGAAAATAAAAGACGGAGATGCTGAGCCGGGCGTTTTCCCCGTCCTCGATGCGATGGAGGACGCATTCAAAGAGGTCATCATTGACGTCAAGGATATATATCAGCTCAACAATGAATGGAGTTCGAACGGACATAGATGGACAACCCCTGCACTGATCCGACGGAGGCAGCAGAAGAATAGTGCCGCAGAGAAGGCAAGCCAGAACCCAAGTAACCCACCATGCCGCACTCGCAAAGGTACTCCGACTACGGGCCCATGTTGAGCGTGACGGAAACATCGACCATCCTGACCAGATCCGCAATTCAACACCAGAATCTGAATTCTCTAGAAGCAGTAGAGCTCAAGAACGAGCCTCACCACTGTTGGATGGAGAGAAAGGAGCCTGAGAGTATGATGATTCATGGGAGGCAGAGCTCTCCACTCACCGGGCCTGGCAGCTTTGGGATCCATGGCCATGACAGTGACGACGAAGATGACTGCCAAGTTCCTCGAATAATGGGTCAGGCACGCCAGACGTCACATATCCGGGCAAGTAAAGAGAATCGAGAATGAAGGACGAGATTCAGCTGACCCTACATCTTCACAGTATAATGTTGGCCAAGACATTCAGGTGTCTCGAGGCACAAGATCATCGAAAGCAGAAACTAGGAATCTTCATGCAGCGATGATATAAAAGTTGCAGAGGACGTGAGTTCTTGAGCCCTCGTGGCATGAACACCCGATAGCCTTATCCTCCATCCCGTGAGTCTTCCGTTCAAGAGCCTCTCACAGTTCGACATATGGCTTCAAAAAGAACCCCCCCGCTGCGAAACCACCAGCCGGTTGCAACAAGCTCACTCGTCTCGCGATCTCACCTTCTCCAACCGCAAACAATCAGCCAGCAAATGCATTCTACAAGATAAAATCTTGATATATAGGTACTCACAACATTTCATTCAACTCTCAGTGAACTCGTTGTAGACCACATCAGTCACCTGATCGAAAACCGTGCCGACGGTGGGTTGGCATACCTTTGGGATCTCTGTCAAAGCGATCCCGATTTGTCGCCACCAAATGAATGGGGACCATTTCTAAAGTGGTTTTTGGCAGAGTTGCCAGAACTTATCTGCGGCCTCGAACTGCTCTACGAAAAGATTAGTTAACAAGCAGAAGGTCTTAGTGGTGACTGATACCCCATGGTAACAGATATAAGTGCTAATAGCGAGAATCTGGTCCTAGGCAGTATGAACCCCGCCAAGTCTGTTCATCCCGCCCGGGATAAAATTCTCATTACAATTATTGTACTTCAGCTCTAAAAGAACGAAACTTTTCGACTTCACTCAACTGTACAACCCGCAAGAGTCATAAATCAACCAGCAGCTTATATACTCACCGGGAGCGCGAAACTCATTCCAATTGTTCATTTGGCCTGCAAGACAGCCCAGGCACTTGACGCCAAAATGATCTAGGGACTTTGTGAGAGACTTTCTCTTAATGACTTAGGCGAAACAAACTCTTCAAGGAAGTTTGTTCACCCTGATATTCCTGTCAGTCAACGAGAGGATCATTCTGGATGATGAGCACAAGATCGAATCGAGGACGACAACGATCTAAACCTCGCAGAAGGAGAATATTCTTTCCAGATGGAGCCACACTATCCTATGAACCTTCTCTTATGATCTCCGGTACTGGCAGACCAAGTTTATGGTGAATCCAAGTCAGGATACCCCAGTGGTATTCTGGATGGCGATTCCTAAGCCAAACCCAGACAATCCATGGATTAAGTGCATGAAGGTGGCCAACTACGACGTTAACGATGATGCCTTACCTATTCGTCGCCTAATTGCATATAACCATTGCCCCATGGATACAAGACGACGTCCCAGAATGCTGAACCAGGACTCAAAACAACACTTCTCAAAAGAAGACAGTCTATGGAACGCGCCCGAAAGCCCATCCCAGGGGTCCTGAGAGAAATCAAGACAGATGTCACACAACCTTTTAATTCATCAAAACTCCTAATTTAGGACGCTCGGGATAGAACAGAGACTTGATATCGACGAGACCGCTGATGAAAGTCACACTTACTCTGTACGTGTACTAGAAATTGTTCGACACAGTATGTTATATACACTCAACATTTCCCTATTACTTTTTGAGGACAGCAGAGGAGGACGAGGGCCAGATATCATCGAATATGGCCACATCCATATAAGAAAAGCGTTGCTGCCCGAGGCGAGAACTTAATACGGAAGCCTCAACACATTCCAATGTTTAACCTTGCATGCTGGAGGGGATCACAGTTCAGCTTTTGAACTCCAGTATACAAGGCAAGTGTGCGCTTGAATTGGGGGTAGATCAACATTGCTGCCAGCTTCTTTGCTGGAGCTCACAGTGTCAAAGGACCAAACGACAACCAGATGATGTGCTGTGTCTCGCGAAGCAGCTCATTGTTTCTGCTTAGGTAACTGCACGTATTACGTCTGTCTAATGAAGGGTATAAGCGGGATGCGTCAGGCTGGCGAGATACCCCTGTATCTCTGCCCAGTCTGCTACCTCTCTGTGTCACTAGTATAGGTACTGTCAAGCATTCTGTCATACCAATGCCTCCAAGACCCAGAACCCAAAGGCGAGTTTATGGCATACTTCGTACGTTCCATGGGGTTCTTTTGAACAAGTTTATGCTTCAATGGCGACACTATATAAAAGAGTCTCTGAGCCGCCCTTGACTCGAGTATTATAGCATATGGACGTGTTAGAAGGAGCCAAAGATTGGTTTGACAAAGAGATTCGCAACCGACTAAATCCCGACGAGATCATCATGAAGTGAGAAGCCTTTGACCTGTTGTTAAACACTTTCACTGATGCTCTAGAAGATGACGTGGGTAGGGATGAAGGTCAAGTCCAGGTGCACCAAGTTGGACTCCCTACCAACAACCGATCACAATACATGCGAGATGGCAACCTCTGGGGTGCATATAAGCTATCCCGCAGTATCATCATAGTAAAGCCGATTTTTATGTGGCATCAGCTTATTGACTCCCACCAGACCTATACTGGAAGTCTTGCGATCCTCACAAGTCGAAATACCAATAAAGGATACAGATATATAGTTTTCCCTCACCAAGATATATTCTGCATCCAGACAACAGAGTGGAAAACCTTACTACAGCACTTCAGGGTATAAGCACATCGTTGGTGGTAAGGACACCCTCAACGGGGATCTCGCTGCGCATAAGGACTCTGCGCTGAAGCAAGGCGACGCTGATCTCAAATTCATGGGTCCCTTTCTCAATCAAGTGTTGATGCCAATCAACACAACGCTCAATGAACCACCCAACTACCTTTCCCACCATCATCATCAACATGCAATGGTCAGTAATCACAACAAAAAGACAGATCAGCAAAAACATACAACAGCGGGGATTCGCTGGTCGTCACCGACCCAACTACTAATCCGCCGGTTAGTGGCTTGACTATGGGAGAGCAGACGGGATCCCGTATTTTCCACTACCTATGGTCGTATGTACTCAGGTTTCTGTAAGCTCAGATTATACTCTTACCCTCGTCGTTGAGTTTACGATGCAGAACAACGGCATACACCTGCGGACAATTCCAACGTGGGACCTTCACAAGATTCTTCAAGTCGCAATCACAAAGCGACCTGGAGTAGACATCGGGGAGAGCACAGGGCAGAGCCGATTCAGACTGGCCGTTCCTGCTCGGGTATGACTCGTGACTGAGAGCTTAAATCAACAGAGAGAGCTTAGGGTCTTAATACCCTGTGTACATATCTACACAGGAAGCGCAACATGTTGACTGAACAACTGGCTATCTGATGCCATGGATCTCTATTGCAAAGCTCTATATATAAACCGTGTCAATGCTAGCGGGCATGAGCGCCGGAAGACTAAACAACGGAGATGACATGGGCGACATGGATTGCCATGAGAACCCACTATACGGAGCTCTATATACCAGCTGCCAAGCCGTCTCGAAACCATTCTCATCCATGAGTAATATGATGCCTGAAGCTCTAGTGCAGCTTCTGCACAGAAGAACAAGCGATTAAGATAAAATCCATAGAATCTACGGCATGATTCAGTAGCTAGGGTCTTCCTATCCCTCTTCGCTTGAATCCTGAACGAGCACAATCTTCTAACAACTCAGAGGTACACTATCTCCTCGACTGAGTCAAGAGATTGGAAGAGGAGATTACACTTTTCAACCGAGAAAAAACAGCCTACAGCCGCCGAGCCGACTCCCGCTGCTGAGCACGACCCAGACGTTGAAATGCCAGACGAGCCCGCCGAGCCCACCCCTGAAGAGTCCGAGTCGACCACTAAGCCAGCACCGGCGCCTACTGAGCCTACTCCCGAAGAGTCTTCTAAGCCTGCCTCTAACCCCGCGCCTACCCCTGTCGATATCGACATAGAACTGACCGACGACGACGAGAGTCCAGATGACGACGAGATCCCAGAGGGTCAGTTCCTTACCCCTCCGGCTATCGTGCTCCCATCAGGGCTCGGTACCACAAACACCATAGACGCCAAGGCATAGCAAAAGGGAGAACCAGTGCCACCTAACGTCACCCAACCCTAGTTCATCCTAGAAGAGGAATTTTTTGACCACCCGGTCGACCCTACTATTCCCAACCCTAAGATAGAGAAATTCATCGGCGAGCATGGCGATTACAGCCTGTAAGATAGAAAGAATAGGCTATTCAGCGAGAACGGAGAACTCGAAGAGACTGTCGTGAGGTTAGGCATCCCAGTCCATGCTTCTTTTCCTAGGTAATCAGACGGACCTTGCTTTCAGTGATCTGAAGCTCCGACTCCCTCAACGCCTTCTTCAGTTGAGAGTACGATGAATAGAGAGGGATCTTTCCTCAAGTGGCTTCTTGCAAAATCCCCAATCCTCGTGCCGGCACTTCAACTTGACCATGAAAGAGAACCTAATATAGATAGATCTTCCTTGCAGACAACCACCCCACGCACAATTCAGAAGGATAGGGAAAAGGTTATCTTGGTAGTGGACGATCCCCTGCTATAAATATAACTTACCATGAGAAAACCAAGATCAGAGTTGGGATGGTTCTATATATATTATGAAGAGGCGGAGTAGTTCATCTTCACACAGGCCCCGTCTGTTCAAACCCAAACGGCACGGGGAGATACCCTTACATTTAGCGCCCAGTTGCCCACAAGAACTCGATGAGCGACGCATCGCCTGACACAAGAACTACAAGAGGCTTACTACCATCTCACCAACCATGCTTCCAACGAAGAATAAGTCCAGAAACAAAGACTTGAGTGTTGTTTGGCGTCGTCATTCAACACACCACTGTGCTATTTTGGCAAGCTCATGAAGAAGAACCAGATTCTACTTGGAAGAGCAAGAGACGAAAGCGGCGAACCCATCGAGAGGTTCATGGGGAGAGACAAAATATACGCTAAGATCGTGCCGTCGATCGAGAACCTTCTCATCCTTTGGATCAACTCCGAGTGACTAGGTATTACAATCACCCTCAATATCGCCAAATTCAGAGTGCTGTTCAGGAGAATCAACGAAGCGAATGACATCCTATTGAGAACAGCAGCCGACGAAGATGGTCATCTCATCGACAAAGACGCCTTCGAAGAGAAAATGCACAAATATTGCTCAAGTTGTTGTTCTCCGTCACAGCAAGATCCTCAAAACACTTATAGGGAGCCAGTAATCCCCTCGATTTTCCTTATCCCACAAGACTTCACTCCATATCGAGTTTACGAGAAATCACCAGCAAAGCTTTTCCCAAAATATCATCAATTATTTCTCTGTCAATACAAACTCGTCTTCCCACCACAACGAAATTCAATGTTTCTCTGTTCTTGCCCTTCAAATATCGGAGTGTCACCCAGAAGTGATGGGCAAATCCTTGCAATGGTGGCTGCGGACGAATGTTTGAGCTCACCCCTTTTTGCACTGCATGAACCTGAAGATCTCAGAAAATGAAGAAACATATATCTAATACCTTCTTTAAGAAACTTAAAGTGGAGCTATAGCAGACGGAAGCCCACAGCACGGCCTTGAATCACAGGCGATACATCACAGACAGCGCCAGCTATTGAAGTACCCCTTCTACAACTCTTGTAAACGAGGATAATTTCATATCTATATCATGATAGAATTATCTTAGATGCCATTCCTCGCTTCTCCGCAGAAGGTCCAGCCCCTTGTGCATGAGTTCAAGGTATATTGTAAAGACAGGCACTGGAGCGGCAAATTTCCTACTCGTCGAAGCTTATTTGAGGCGAAAGCATTTTAAACCTTCAAACGATGCGACTCCTTCTGAGTATATATTTCACAAGCGAGCGATGTGAGGAAGGTATGGTCTAGAGTCATCTCCAAGTACGTTTTCCCCAGACATTTCATGATGATCGTAGCTGACCTCGTCTGAAGAAACGCATCGACACTTGATGTCCTACCGCATGACTAGGCGTATGAGCTTCCCTGGAGAGAGATATAGCAGACAAGAGATGCTGTAGGGAGAAATAAATCACTATAACTTCTACTCAATTGGATCCTGAGGGTGAAAAATCATGCGGAGTCGATGATAAATTGGTCATGACGGATGCGGAATTGTGGTGGGTAATGGCGATAAAGCACGGTGATACCGAGGTTAGGGTGAGGGTTGAGAGTTCTCAGGCTTGCTTCTTTGTTACCATGAACTCAAGTTCTCGACTGAAAGCAGGGAGGATAGCTTCAGAAGGTCTTGAGAAATTATTGTAGCACCGAAAGCCGTGTTGATATAGTATAGACTTAGGTAAACTTAGGCAAATTTATTATAAATTTATTACGCCTTTAGACTAAGTTAGTATGCTAAATTAGCTCTACGTCACCATCTTCGACAAGGTCGTCGTCATAGCAGTACCTAGTAATTCGAAGCCAAGTGATTGCCATAGTGTAATGAGAGACTTCGGGACATTGACCCACGGCTAGAGGAGTAAAGGCGAAGGTTGATACTTGAAGTTGAACAAAATTATCCTTGAATCCGGTACAGATGTATACTTTAGCGTATACTTCTTGTAGTTTGGGGACCACCATGTAATATGTCGCCGTGTCACGAGGTTTGATGAGTTTGCCCCATGCCACTGTAGGAGAACTTGGGCTTAATGCATTCTGCAGAGATAAATTGATCCCATCGACATTGAAGAGAGTCTTGGCCTGGTAGGCGTTGTATCAGTCCAGTCGCACGGAAGGCACAGCTTGGTTTTGGGGTCGTGCTCTTGGCCTTTCCCAATGGAACAGCCGCCATCGCAACCTACCTTAAGGCTCAGGGCACCCCGATTACTTACAAACACGCATGAACAGCTTGCTACAAGCAACTCAGTCTCTCAGTTGACGACATAAATCTCTCTCCTCACATGGAAGGCCACCAGATGTTATCTGTTTGTAACATTTCCTGCCTTGTGCTACCAACGATGAGCACAAACGGACAAGAGCATCGCGAAGGAAGCAGTTGACAGTTGCTGTGCTCTCCCAACTTCCGACGATCCCGAAATCAATTTGTCATTTAAACGAGAAGAACCAACCAACAACTCAAGCAAATCGTTTCGTCTCGCGAACCTTCGCTACTTCACCCGTCGAACTGGCAGTGGCAACAACACTCACCAACATCAATCGGCCCCTCGGCAGCCTTCCAAAAGCCGATGCAGAAGCCTATCAAAAACAATCAAGTCAACTCTCCAAATCTCCCCCGCACAGTATTTTTCGCCCATAATTTTGGTGCGGGGCCGGAGGTTGAACAATATCAACAAGAACAATACTAAGCCCCTGGCCGCAACCTCGTCTGTGCACACACTATCACAACACTGACCCTTTGATATTGTTCTTTGTCGCCCCAAACACCTGGGTTTACCACTTCGTATTGCCATGTCGCCTCAATTACTTCGAGCACTTCCCCAAGTGTTTCCTCCTTAATCTCAACATGATACCCAATTTCTCTATACTTCAAAAATGGAACAAGACGTTAAATCATCGTGGAAACAGCTCTTTCTCTTTACAAGACGATCACACTCCGGCGCTTTGATCGCTGCCTTGTTTGCAGCTGGCTTCTCAGCAGGTTTCAAAACTGTTCTGTCGGTCATTCTCGGAAAAGTCTTCGATATTATCGCGGGCTTCGGGAATGGTACGCTTAGAGGGGATGAGGCCCTTTCGCAGGTGGGAAGATGGGCACTTGTCCTAGTAGGACTCGGTGTTGGCAACTGGATTGCAAGTACAGCGTTCCTCGCCCTCTGGGTCATGTTTGGAGAGTTGCAGGCATGCAGTGTTCGGCAAGACATCTTTGCAAGTCTCCTTTCCAAGGACATGGCCTGGTTTGACTCTCAATCCGAGGGCATGTCAAGTCTTCTCATCAGAATACAGACGTGGGTATCCCTCTTCTTTACTCACACATGACTAACATTTGATAGACAAACTCGTGAGCTTCAACTCGCATCCTCCCAGGTTCTCGGCCTTCTCATCGGCGATATCATCACCTCAATCGCTTCCCTCGGTATCGCCCTCTACTACTCCTGGAAACTCACCCTCGTTCTCCTTGCCACACTTCCAATCTCAGCTATAGTCCTCTCACTGGCGACAAATCGACTTGAGCCCGCGATCCAAGCACAGAAGCGTGAGCTCGCAGTCGCTTCCAAATTCGCCGTTGCTTCAATCACGGCCATCGATCTCGTCAAGGTTTTCAACGGTTACGATCAAGAGGTCTGGCAGTACTACCCCGCTGCCAAAGCTGCAGCGAAGCACTATCTGATCCAAGCACAGTGCAATGCTCTGCAAATGGGCTACGTTGCCTTCTGGGTCGTAGCCATGTTCGTCGTCGGCTTTTGGTATGGTGTTGTGCTCGTCAACAACGACGGCCTTGCCGCTGGCAGTGTTTTGACAACTTTTTATGCAACACTCGCAGCGTTTCAGGGTATTGAAGCTTTGATGCCTCAGTGGCTGGTTCTTGCCAAAGGTATGTCAGCCGGCAGCTTTCTCTCCAGTATCACTCGGAACGTGAGGAACGGTGAGATTGTCAAGCCAATGACAGGAGCTTTACGACCACTGAGTTGCAGTGGTGATATCGAACTGAAAGACGTAAGTTCTGCCAATGCTGATAAAGATAATGGCTGACTTTAGTAGGTGTGTTTCGCATACCCCTCGAATCCAGCCCAAAAGGTACTCCATCAATCCAGCTTCTTCTTCCCTTCAGGTGAGATGACCTTTATCGTCGGAAGAAGCGGCTCCGGGAAGAGCACGTTGGGTAACCTCATTGTCGGTTTCTATGAGCCCCTGAGCGGAGACGTCTATGTAGACAACAAGCCCTTGCGGGTCCTCGACAGACAATGGATCCGCGAGAACATTACCTTGGTCCAACAATCCAGCGTACTGTTCAACGAGAGTTTCTTCAAAAATGTAGCCTTTGGGCACCACGACCCCGCAGGAGCATCGCGGGCTGAGGTGATACGAGCTTGTGATGCAGCATTGCTTCAGTCGACGATTGCAGGACTTCCTGAAGGTCTAGATACCAATGTCGGGGC